GTCCACCGCTGTCATGCTGCAGGAGGTGGGCGTGGAGGTGGCGGAGGAGGTGGCCGCGGAGGAGGAGAAGGCCGCCGGCGTGGGCTCAGTGGCTGGGACGCCCCCCTGGGCCGGGGGCCCTGGGTGTCCGGCGGCGGTGGCTGGCACCAGCGGCTGGCTGATACTGATGCTCTCGTCGTCGTCCTCTCGCTCGGCGCCGGTGCTGCTGCTGGGGGAGCCGCCGCCGCCCCCGCCGCGTCTGCCGCCGCCTCCCCCCCGGCTGGTGCTGGTGCTGGTGCTGCTGTCGCCCGAGCCTCTCCGGCCGCGGGAGGAACCCCCCCGGAGGAAGAGCGGCTGCAGCCGGGCGGCGGCTGCGGGCGGCGGGAAGGAGCCAGCCGAGGACGAGACCGCGCGGGGGTTGCCGAGCGCCGCGTGCATTGTCCTCCGCGGGGCTCCGGGGGGCTGCCTGGCTGCTCCCTCCCCGCCAACCCCCGGCCGGTGAGGCGGCAGAGGGGAGCCGAGGCCCGCAGCCGCCGCCGCCTCCCCAGCAGCGGGCACTCGTACCCCCGCCGGCAGCTGCGAGATCCGGACTGGAGCCTCGGGACTGGGCGAGCGAGCCCCGGGCGGCTGGGAGCGGGGTAGGCGAGAAGCTGAGCCCACAGCGATGACGCCGGGCGCGGCGGGGGCGGCGGGAGGGGGGAGGCGACTAGAGGGGGCGGGAGGGAGCCCAGCCGGGGAGGAACCGGAGGCTGGCGGCGGGGAAACCAGGACTGGATTCGAGGGGGAGAGGAGGAGACCAGAGGAGGACAAAGCCTGGCTCGCCGGATCAGCCGGAGAAAGGGGTCGGAGGATACCCGAAGCCGAGAGTTGGCACTGGGGAGCCCCAGGGCTGAGAAGGGAAGAGGAGGCCCTGTCGGAAAGAGAGGGGCGGGTTTGGTGTGGGGAATCGGCTGTGGAAGCACCCAAACAGAGCACAGGATTCTTAAATACATAGCCCGGATCCCACCAGTTGAACCACGGCAGCCTAAGTTGCTGCTACCGGGAGCGGTGGGGGGGCCCCAGGCCCTGGCCTCTGCTGGCAGTCAGCGGTCAGGCTGCTTCTTGGCACACAGCTTGGACCTCTGTTCTCCGTCTAGGGCCCTTTCCGCTGGGCCACTGGGCCTCTCCACTGAAAACTAATGGAGGCTTACCAGAAAGAAAGGCAGCCTGGGGCAGAATTTATTCACTTCTCAGGTGTATTTTATTTATGTTGCATACAAGAATCGGGGTGCAGGCCAGAGGTACAGGGGGTGAGAGGATTCACCAGAGTCAGAGTGGGGAGCAGAACAGGCGGATTCACTGAAATCACTGCTGAGGGGAGCAGAGGGCGAGACAGGAGAGGTCTGCTGTGCCGTGTGGGTCAGCTGCCTGGCTGGGGATCGAACTCCAGCCACAGTGGCTGCCAATAAGCACAGTGGCAGTGGCTTGATAGCACTGCCAGAGAGACCCATGGGGGTAGAATTTAATGGAAGAGTCAGGCCACACTGATTGAAAGGCCCAGGACTTTCTTACAGCAGCCCCAAAGATATTCCTACATCTTCATATGTAGAAGATAGGAACCCCCTGGGTTCAGGGGGTCCCCCTCAGGCCCTCCCTGTGTCCAAGGGATGGAACATGTATCTAGCAGAGCAGAAAATGAGGAGCTATTTAGAGATATGGATACCTTGAAAAAACAAGTCTCAGAGTCGGTGGTGAATGCAAGTTCAGGTCTCTCCCCTGGGGTGACTCAACCTGCAGATTCAGGCCTCGCTGGGGCTGGAGATCAAGCCACGACTCAGGAAGCAGCAAGTCGTTATACTTTCAGGAGTTTGGAGGAGGAAGGAGTTGGCTCAAAGAGACTTTCACCTCCCGAATAATGCAAACTCCCAACCGCTCCAAAGCGAGGCTGGACGGCCTGTCCTTCCTCCTGCTCCACACAGTCCGGGCTGATGTCCCAAGCCTTGCCCCCAGGCCCATGCAAGCCGCCTGCACTGCTGGGCTCTTTCTGAGTGGCACCCCACAGCACCTGGGGGGCTGCAATGGGCTCAGGCCCTGGGGGCCGAGCCTTGTCCCTCAGCCCGCCTCTTGAGTTTGGGTTCATTTTAACCCAAACCTGCTTTCTCTTCTCTCTGAAGGTCTCTAACCAATCCAAGGTAGATGTGGGATTCAGACTCGCAGGTATGTGAAAGGGGGCGTGTCAAGGCCAAGGTATGGGCCGGGGTGGCGGAGAGTGGACACAGTCTTCGGTGTCCGCTTGCGGTTCTGTGTCCACCAGCCCTGTGCAGAGCAGGTGCCCTGGGGCTGGCGGTCTCAGCTCCGCCACTTAGCTGATGTTACCAGACAAGTCATCTCACCTCTTTGCCGCTCCGATTACCCAGCTCTAAAAGGACCAACGTCTACCTCAGTGCACTCTGGTGAGACTTAAAGATCAGGATTCAACGTGCCCGTGGCGTGGAATAAGTGCCCAGTTAAAGGCAGCTGGCACTGTCATCAGCTTCCACTTAGCTCACAGCTTACCCTCCCGGGGAACATTTACTCATCCACAGGCCACTCGTGACTGTCTTCTGGGCTGGCTTCCCTCCCGGGGCCACATTTGGAGCTCTGCACCACCACAGATCTGCACTTTGAGAAAAGAGCAAAGCTGCTCTCCTTAGGAGCAGTGGTGAGAGATTCAGCTGTGCCAGCTGGTGCCAGGCCCACACACAAGGGCAAGGTGGGGAGGAAACAGTGGCGGCAGCCTGTAGGGCTGTGGGGGTCATGAGGGTCCCCGATGTCAGAGCCATGTCAGAGCTGTAGGGAGGGCGGCCCAGGCAGGGCGTGGCTTGGGTGGCTGCCCACTGCTAATGGCAGTGACTACAGCCAGGCTCCCCAGCTCCAGGGGAAACAGCAGCCAGCAGCTAGCCTGAAAGCTGGCCTGAGACTTCTGCTCAAGCTAGTGAAGCAGTTCGAGAAACAGAAGATGATGGCAAAGAGCTGGGCTCCTGAGAGAACACAAGGAGTCTGCTCCCACGCTCCGCCACCACAGCAGCCAGGCTCCGCACAGTCCTCCCCTCTCCCCTCAGACTTAGCCATCAGGGGCTGCCCCACCTCCCGCAGGTGGGAAGAACAGGCCTCCTTCCTGGTAATTTGGCTTGTAACCGTCCTTTCAAGTTCCCCTTTTATTTCTGGAAAATGTGATATACAATGACCAGATTAATTTTCTGTAGAAGATCTTTTTAAAGAAGTATTCCTTTACGCTAAGACTTTTATTTATTTATTTTTATTTTGCATATAAGCGGGTGTAGGCCAGAGGTGCAGAGGGGTGAGAGAATTCACCAGAGACAGAGTGGGGACCAAAACAGCCGAGGGGATCAGTGGGCAAGACAGGAGAAGTCACCATGTGCGGGACAGCTCCCTGGCGGGGGGTCGGATTCAGGCCATTGCAGTGGACCTTGGCAGTGGTAGTGCTGAGACTGAACCCCTAGGCCAACAGAAAGACCCTCTGTATAAGATATTTTAGCTCAGTTTCATCCCAGTGTAAGACACCAAACAAAAAGACGACAAATTAACGATGAGAAAGCAGGGTACTTAACAGAGTAAGTCAGAGGTCTGAGTATTGCAATGGATTTCCCCAATCTTCTGTGTACACACACACACACACACA